CTTGTCCAAGTATGTTGTACACCTGCAACCAATGGAAGATTGCACATCAACTATACTTCAATTGAAAAAAGAGAGCCCAGGGATGTCTGGCTGGCTCAGTCAGTAGAGCAGGTGACTCCTGATCCCAGGGTTAAGTTCAAGCCCCACGACAGGTGTAAGGATTACCTAAAAAGCAAATCTTAAAAAAAAGAAAAGGACCAGTGGCAAATTGTCCCTCAGGTCCTATAATTAGACTAACACCCTATATTAACACTGAAGGTTGTCAGCTCCCTGAACTCCTACATCTTCTCAAGGGGAAAGACAAAGTTAGGTGAGCAGGAGCAGATCTTAGGTTGAGAATTTTCCTGGGGACTATTCTGACAGGACCTTAGGTATTAATGCTCCACATTATAGTAAGACCATTCATTCCTGACTCACTAAATGTTTCATGGGAACTGCAGTTTTCATTTGAGGTCCAAATAAAATTAAGGTTTATTTATTTTTAAACAAATTTTTAAAAAGATTTTATTTATTCGTGAGAGATACACAGAGAGAGGCAAGAGACACAGGCAGGGGGAGAAGCAGGCTCCCTGTGGGGAGCCTGATGCAGGACTCGATCCCAGGACCCCAGGATCACAACCTGAGCCAAAGGTAGACACAACCACTGAGCCACTCAGGTGTCCCAAATTAAGCAGGTTTAGATGGTGACTGGATGGAACTTTCTTTTAATTTTATAAATTGCTGCAGTTCAGATGACCCCCACCACCCCTTAAAACCAATGGGTACAGATGTACACTGTCCTGAAGGCGGCATAAGAAGCTCAATCTTAGCCTTTTCCTGGGGTTTGGGGCTCAGCTTCAGGTGGTCAGAAAGGGGAGCTGGGAAGGTGAGTGGGGGGCAGGCTGGTTGAATCCAAGAGGCTCCCCACATCATTAATTTTATTTTATTTTCCAACTGGTTTTATTGTGGCAAAATACTTAAACGTGAAAAACTTACCATCTTAGCCATTTTTTAATTGTCCAGGTCAGTGGTATTGAATACATTCATAATAGTGTGCAGCCACCACCATCCATCTCCAGAATTCTTCCTTTTATGAAACTGCAATGCTGTACCCAATAAACACGAACTCTCCAATCCTTCCTCCCCTCAACTGCTGGCAACCACCATTCTACTTCCTGTCTCTATGATTCTGACTACCCTAAATACCTTGCATTAAGTGGAACAGAAGAGTCTGTCTTTTTTGACTGGATTATTTCACTTAACGTAATGTCCGCAAGGATTACCCATACCATAGCATGTGTCAGAATGTCTCTCCTCTTCAAGGCTGACTGATGTTTCATTGTGTGTTATGTACCACGTGCTGCTTATTTATTCATCTGTCGAGGGACACTTGGGTTGCCTAAACGTTTTAGCTCTTGTGAATAGTGCTGCTATGAACAAGCATCCTTTCAAGACCCTACTTTTGGTTCTTTTGGGTACATACTCAGAAGGAGAACTGCTGGATCATCCAGTAATTCTATTTTTAATTTTTTGAGACCTGCCCTATTGTTTTCTACAACGGCTCCACCATGTTATATCCCTACCAATAGCACACAAGGGGTCCAAGTCCTCCACATCCTGTCAACACCTGTTAGTTTCTGCTGTTGCTAATTGGTCATCCTAATGGGTGTGAAGTGGTATCTCATAGCTTCGATTTGCAGTTCCCTAATGACCAGTGAGGCAGGGCATCTTTTCATGTGCTTTGGCCATTTGTATATCTTCTTGGGAGAAATGTCTATTCAAGTCCTTTGTCCATTTCTGAATTGGGTTGTTTGTGTTTACTTATTTTATCAGACATCTACTTCGTGCACGCCATGTGCCAGGCACACCTGCCCAACATCCCACAGCCACAGAATAAGGACTTGGGAAACTTGGTTCTTGAGTTCTTAGATGTAGTTTTTGGGCTCTGCAGCCTTTTGAAGGACCCCAACCTCAGCAATTTTCTCCCAGTCCTTTTTGGCAAGCCCTGGACATTTAATTCTTCTCTACCACTTGAATGATCACTTAGGATCAAAAAGAGCCCTTAGAGTTTTGGAAGCAAGGCGACCCAGATCCCAGAGAGTTGCTGTGGTCCCTACTTGGGAGGCAGCCCATAATGCTATAAATGTTAAGAAATTTGGGGCTCCTGTTTCCTGAAAGGGCCAGAAACAGTTCTTCTAGGGCTATCATCATTTGTTCCATTCAGTGTATTCTCTGCAAGGAATTTCTCTGGGAAAACAGAAGACACACGCAGTCATAAAACTTTAAGATGTGTGAGAGTCATTTTGAGGGTAATGTGTCTTGAGGACTCCATGCCCAGGCAAATTTAAAAATAAGCAGGTTTGCAACGCCTAAGGATGGGCCAATCTCTGAGGTTATTGAGTAAAAAGTCAACACTGTAAAGTCAATTACGCTATTGACAGATACTCTTACAAGGAGATTTCACATCATAATTATATGCAAAGGAACCCAGCAAATACAAGCTGTGTAATGATCAGCTAATAAAAGTAACACTTCATCTATGTCAATAACAGTTTCAGAGTTAAGACAAACAAACATGGCCTTTGCCACTCAGTGGTGGAAAAAAAAATCCCTGAAAGACAAATATTTTCACTTAAGGAGAAGTCGCTTAGACTCACACAGAAAACCTATCACGCAAAGCAGAGTAGGAAACTGGTCTTTAGTGGGTGCTAATGACTCTCTGGCCCTCCCTCCATCCCTGGCTGAGCTGCAGGGGGGTTAGTGGCGGAAGCGCTAAACAAGCCCAGGAACCCCTGGTCACTGCCACAGGGTCTGGAAGACATTTGCCCTTGTTCTGTGGACTGTTTTCCTTTTGACCTCAGATACATAGTCTAATTTAAAACAAATTTTTTTTTTAAATTACAATGAATGTGAAAGAGCAAAACAAGATTCCTCAGCACCCTAAAGACTTATTAATGGGTTTTATATAGACACTGGGTTCTGCAAACACCCCCACGGCTATTATTTATGTTTATTCTTTCCAAAAGCATCTCATGCCCATTATTTGCCAGGCATTTGGGGCATGAAGGAAGCAGAGTCCTCTGACCAAGGTTCTTGACCTTACAGAGTTTACAACACTCCTCTCCCTAATTTCTCTTGAAACGGAGGTGGAGGGTGCAGAGCTGGCATTTGGATAATGCACTAATGTACCACAGTTCCCTGGACTGTCAGGTTCTCTCTTATTTATGCACATGGTAACCTGTTTAGTCTTGCAAACTAACAGTTGTGCATTTCACTGAAAACTTCTCTGAGGCTCAGAGAGGTCATTCTGAGACTACGAGTGCCTTCACAGTGGACAGCCATCAGGCAAGTGGTGCCATTTTGAAGCTAGTGCCTCTCAGCCCTAAATCTACTCTTCCATGGTGCTCTGTGGGCTGGGACGGGCTATGCCAGCCCCAGGTCTGCTGCACCATCTGGCTCCATGTTAGGCTCAGACAATAGGAGCTGCCTCAGGAACCTTGGGAAGAGGGTGGAGGAAGAAAGGACATGTCCCTTCTTCCTGTGTGTATCCTGTTCACCTGAGGCAGTGGTTCATTCCTGTAATAGTTGCTGAATTCAGCTTATATTTTTTTTTATTTTTTTTTGAATTTTTTTTTTTTTGAATTCAGCTTATAGACACTCAAATGCTTACAGAACCAACTTCTCCACATTCCCTTAGGGTGCTTGCACAAGCAGGAGATCCTGAGATCTCCTGAGGTCCCTCCTCTGAGCTCAGAGACTCCAGCCCCAATGGAGAGGGGGCCATCAGAGGTCAGGAATTCCACTGCCAGCTCCTCCTAAGTCTGAGTCCCACCTCTGCAGGGCAACCGTCAGGACCTCTTCCTTTTCTTCTCTTAGCCGGACATGAGACTTCACTAAGATAAAATGGCCTTCAGATGCAAACTTGATCCAAAAGTGCAGAGTGAGCAAGGAGAGGATGCTGTGAAGGTGCACAGCTCAGTGCAATGGGCCAAGTGACAGCTTGGGCCTGACACCATGCAAACATGAGGAGCCATCAGCCAAGCAAGTGAGAACCTGGCCCCTGCTTATGGCAAGTGAACTACTGAGCAGAGGGGGACAAACAGAGGAACTTTACCACACAGGTTCACTCATAAAATGGCCACAACCAAAGCATGGGGCTTTCAAAGCAAAGAGAAATCCATCCACAGTTGCTTTGTAAAGCAAGTGTTCCTGTGATGGACCTTGAAGGGGGTGCTGCTTTGCACATGGAGGCTAAGGGATGTCTACATAGAGGCAACTGAGTGGGTAAGATGGGCCACCACTGGACGTATTTGGGGAACAGATTTGGCTCGAGGAGATGGGAGGACTGGGGTGATGATGTCAGGCTGATATGTGGGAGTCAAAGAAGGTGCTTCTTTGGACAGCCAGAGAGACACATTTTAGGCAATCAGTCTGGCAGTGGCTGATGGGTGGGTGGCAGGGGGGCAAAGAAGCAGCAGGAAGATGAGAGTAGGCACTCACACTGGCACCCGTGAGGGGTCGTAGCTAGAGAAGAGACACTAATACAGGACCGACAATGGAGTCACAGAAGGATGGAGGGAAGCAATTTTCCAAGAAGAGTTCATGTGGTTTGGCAACTGATCTGATTCTGAGCAAGGGAAGGACACCGGCTGTGATTTATATCCCACTCACTGCGAGTTTGCATTTCACTCTAGAGGTACACCAGTTAGCCTAGAGTCGAATGACTAACTTGCTCACCACTTCCTTCTACCCAACTTGCCCCCCCTTCTTAGAACAAAAAAAAGCTTAATTTGTCTTTATCTCTGTATCTGCAAAGAGACCAAGATAATTTGAGCCCAGAAGGAAAAGCTGGTACTGGCTTGGGGTCCCTGGGAGTTACTTTGACTTTTCTGAACACCCAAATCAGCTGTACTGTCTTCCCAAGTGAGAGGCTGGGCCTCTCCATCCCAAGTGGGCCCGTGGGACACATGGCACCCTTTGCGCTCCTTAGGCCGGCTCTGCCCAGGGGGCGTCTCCCTTACCTCACAGCTGCCGTCATCCCGATGGGAGTGATTGGCAAAGGCCGGACTCCAGGAAACAGCCCGCGGCTCAGAGCCCGCGCTCCATTCTGTATCACTCCGGGGGCACTGCAAAAGCAAGTGGGAGAGAGACACCACAGGTGAGTTCAGGTGTGACGATTTCTGCTTCGAGTCAGAAGTTTTGGATACACCAGAGAGGGAGAGAGAGAAAGTGGTATTGGCATAGGAAGCAGAGACAGAGAGAAACACACACGCACACGCGCGCACGCACACGCGCGCACACACACATGCATGCACACTGAGGAGGAAAGAAAGATACCATGCCTCAAGAGAAAGAGATTCGGTCAGCCATGTCAGACCAGTACTTTACAATCAAATTACTGATGCATTACTTTAAAAAAGGGTATTAAAAAATGGGCTTCAGACATGATTGCCTTCCATGTATTAAGATAAGCTTTTATTTCTAGTCAGGCCCTAACAAGACCCCAAGAACACAGACACAAGTCTGGCAGCGATGACCAAACAAAAGCATTCCCTCATGCTTCTCTGGTCGTAGTCAGAAGCTGAGAACACCTTTCTACGTGTCCTTAATCCAACAAGGGAAAGAGAGAGCCAAGACAACAGCAAAGCTGATCTTACAAGCTACGTGGCACCTCAGCGCTCACAACACAGTTCATGCTCATGATGATCTCTGCTGCCTGAGGAAAGACCCTTCCTCAGTGTCGGCTGGAAGTGGAGGGTTGGCTGGGAAGCTCTGGTTCCTGCCTCAGAACCCTGCAGAGCCCACTCTGGAGGGCCCACTTCCTACTCTCTCGAAGCTTCCCCCAACCAAATCTCCCGAGAGTTGTCTCATCATCTTCTGCCTTCTCCGAAATACCCTCATCCCCAGAGCAACAGTAGGGCAACCTTTTTGCCAGCGACCATGAGACCCTGTCCTTTTCCAGACAATCTCCCAGTGGCCTCACACCTGAGTCACACAGCAGGGGAACCCCAAGAAACCCCCAACAGTCCATCTTTTTCAACCTCCCAAATAGCAGGTTCATTTGTTTCAGGCCAATACTCGTCCCGTACTACCAACACTCCTCCACGTGTCCTCAGGGCTCACAGCCTTAGCTTTCATCTTAGTTCCTCTCGTGTGACTTCGTGCAAGTTACTGACATCTCTGCTTCCTCCTCTGAACGGCGTCCGGACTCCCCAGAGCTCTGGCTGTGCTCATCTAGCAGCCCTGGCACAGTCTCATCCAGAGGCAAGGTGGATAAATCACGCTTTCTCAAACAAAGGCCACACCAAAGAGGCTCTAGAAAATTATGCATCCAAAAATGAAAACCCTTCTGGATATTAAGTTTTTAAAGTCCATATTGAGAGGCATGCTCTTGACAAAACACAAACATTACTTTTTACTCCTGTAATTTTTAGGCTTCTAAAGACATGTTTACATAAATATTCCAAGGTTAGTTAGAGGCCCCTCATGTAGGGTCAATGTCCACTCCTGAATATGAGATAGTGCTATACAGACCGAGTCCTTGAGAATTCTGTGGCTCTTGCTAATATTTTTGCCACTTTTTCCCTAGGTTAGTGTAAAGCCCCAGCCGCTGGTGGATGGGAGACAGAACTGAAATCAGTGCCCAAAGCCAGTACTACCAGTGCAGTCCAGTGGGCTGGAATCTTGCCCTTCTCTTACCATACTGAACTATGACAGTAGGCTGCACTAGATCAGGAACTCTCACCCATATCCCTTACCAGCAGCCTGATTTCAGATAGCAGATCATTTGAGACAGGAGACTTAACCAAGTGTCTTAAAAGCATGAAACCTGTATAACGTGATACTGAAGGTAAGTATCCTATTTTGCTTAGCTGATGAGTTCTAAGCAAGAGTGTCTAAAATTTTTATTAACTGACTTGTGTTGCTGATTTCAAGACTTCTTACAGAGCTACAAGACAGGGTGGTATTAGGGTAAGTGGAGAGATAGAGATCAAGGAAGAAAACAGATTTTGGAAATATACCCCCAAATACATGGCCAACTGATTTTTGGCAGAGGTATCCAGACAACACAATGGGGAAAAGCAGGGTTGGAACAACTGGAGATTTGGGAAAAAAATGAACCTTGGTCCTCACCTCATGCCATAAATGAGTTAATTAGAAACGGATCATACACGTAAATGGAGGAACTAAAATTAGAAAACTTTTACAATAAAACATGGCAGGAAAAATACCCATAATTCTCAAGGACAGACATGCAAAAATCCATAGAACTCTGGAGTTTGTAGACAGATGCATCAGGTTGTTTGAAAAGACAGACTTTCTGTTTGTCTCTTTTGCGGACTGTGACAAAGGGTTTTTCAGCTATTTTGCTGCTTGGGAGTCTCTTCGAAATGGCCAGATAGCCGTAGACTCCATTTAATTCTTATAATATTATTGAAGATATCAGTTACTAGGGATCTTTTCCAGGAGAGCGAGTGAATTTGATAGAAAGGACTACTTGTTAAAATAAGTTAAAAAATTTAAAATCAGTATCACTAATTCTTGCCAGCAAAATTATAACAGTCCCATACATAGATTGTTAACATAGCAAGTACCCACTTATGTATTCGATGAAGGGGACAAGGGGTTGACACAGTTATACAGGAGACAGAATTGAAGAGGCAAGGGAAATATATTGTGGTAAGTGCTGGGGCAGGGGGTCTGTAGGCACAGAAGGATGGAGACCCCTGACCCAAAGTAAAGACTCCCTGTAGAAAGCACCATCCAAGTCAGCATTCAGAGGCAGAGAGGAAGTAGTAAAAATCACAATGTGCACAAGAACAAAGAGTAATTTTGGTAGAGCATATGATGCTCTGTGGGAATGAGGGGCTTTTGGGCTCCACCCCATGGGTACTGGGGAAACCATTAAAGGGTTCAAAGCAGGGAACTTGTCTGGCATGTAGTGGCTGAGAGCCAGATGCTGGTGTTGGGAGGACCTGAGTCTGCATCCCATCTCTGTCATTTCCTGCCTGTGTCCCCTGAGCGAGCCACTCCAGTAAGAGGATGGGGACAGAAATGGGGTTTATCTCACATGGTGGAGATTTCACTGAGTTAATAAAGAAAATACATCTTAGTCACCAACACAAACAGCAGCAACATCACCACCACCACCACCACCACCATCCTCGGAGCATCCTGAGGCAGCCCAGGCTTTCTCCATTCCAGGTGAGCTGAGAGCCCATTAGAAGGAGATGAGTCCTTGAGAATTAGAACCAGGCTGGAAGAACTTGGCCATCTTCTGGCCACAGTGCGTGCTGGAGGAGCAGGGACTACTCTCGATGGTGCTTCTGTCCCCATTGTGTGAATCATGTCCCTGTGGGAAAAATGCCGGAAACCCCTAAAATCCTGGGGCAGAGACTAGGGTGCCTTGGAAAGTGAAGACGGCAGATAGGGAGTCACAGAGCACAGGTTCTCTGGCCTCTGGCACGGCCAGTGAGTCATCTGCCAGCCAGAGGACAAAGCAACCCCGAGGACACTGCCCCCAGCTCGGAGTCCTCTGCCCAAGCGCCCAGAAACGATAAGCCCCAGGGGCATGTCCAACAGGATGGAGAGCAAAGGAGGGAAGCCAGTCCCCAGTGAGCACGGACTAGAGACCAGGGTCCTTTGGTGGGCCTCACCTCATTGAAGCCTCCAGGGAGCAAGTGTTCCACAGTGGTTAAGAGTACAAGCCTAGGGCAGCACGGCTTCTGTCCCTGTCTTGGTCTCGTCCCACCACTAGCCCTGCAGCTCTGGGCAAGTGCCTTCACCTGCCTGTGCCTCAGTTTCCTCACCTGTAAACTCAGTATAAACATAGCTCATAGGATTGTTTTGAGTATTAAGTAAGACTGATATAAACTGTTTAGCTCAGTGGCTGGTCCCTTAAAGAAGCTCATTATCATCATCTTGTTCATCCCTCCACCATCCCATCCCATCTCTCTAGCGTCTTCCTGCTAATTATCTCTAAGGAACAGGACCTATGGGTGAGGGGTCAAGACAGGGGGGAAATTCTTCCAGCCTTTTAATGCTTTTTGTAGTTCTCTGCATTCACTCACAAAAATATCTTCCTGATGAATGAAGTGTAGTCACTTCAAAGAGAATCTCATGGACAGAGCTATCCCGAAGCATTAAAAGGCTTTCCCTGTGCTATTTCCTGAACCTTCCAAGACTTCTGGCATTGTAAACTCGGCTCTTCTCCTGACTCCTGGAGTTTGCTCTCAAATGAGCTGCAACTGAGTGCTCCTCCTGCCAACCCTGCCACTTCTCAGTCCTTATCACTGGCAACGCTCTTCATGTTGGGATGGCGACGCGTTCGTATTTGCTCACGGGCTGCCAGGAGCCAGCTGTGACACTTAACTATTCTCCCATCTTTTCTCCTTCCTGTCTCCATCCCCAAGCGTCAGGAATGAGGCTTCTGGAAAATGAATCACAGCCAGTCTAAAATGTCTGTGAAAGGCATTGAGGTCCATATTTAACTAGTCTTGGATTCAGGGGACTGTGAGGGAGCATGTACGCATTCCTCAGCCCTCTGCCCGTCAGCATGTCTGTCTTTCCCTTCCTTTTACTCTGTATTACCCTTGGGGTAAAACACCTAAAGCCCAAGCACTTTCCAACCAGCCCAGTCCACCCAATGCACTGAAATGGGTACCTCGGCTCCAGCTATGAAGGGATATAGTGAGAAACTAGACATGTTTGTGGCTCTCACTGCAAAGGCACAGGCCCCCAGCACCATCCCGTTCTGTTACATGAGTTCAATATTCAGCTTTTACATGCAGGAAGACACACGTCTGAGATTCTCTAGTTGCTGGGATGAGGTGCCAAGGACAGGAGCCCCAGAGCTCCCAGTTCTTGCTGCTCAACTGCTTTCTCTTACGTTAGAGAGTGACACTAAACGTCCTTATTTTTAACCAGGAAGAAAGTAATACACACATGAACCAAGCAGCATTGCTCACTGGGATCTCAATGTCATCACCTTGAGAATCTAAAAAAAAAGTCTATGGCACAAGACAAACTTCCCTCTAGGCTTTGCCACCCTCAGCACTTCCCCATCCCAGCTTCCCTAGCTTCCCTCCTGATGCTCAGCTTCCTTGATTTTCACAGCTTCTAAAATTAACCTCTGAGCTCCTACTGCTGCCTTTGGAGGGCAGCCCTGGCTAACGCTACCAGAGGCCATAAGCTGAGCAGCAAGTGATTCCGATAATCCTTCCCTTTCCCGAAGTCGGCCTTTCCACCTGCTTACTTTGGAAGGATGCTGGGGAGGGGGCTGGAATGGGGGAGCCTGTGTCCCGGTTGGCATCCTTCTCCGGTGCCTGGTGTGTTGGATACATCTCCCTCTTCCAGGCAGGGTGCGGAACGTCGCCTCAGTCCCTCCCCTCGGCTTGTCCCATTTTGTTGTTTTGTTTATTATCCAGTGTTTCTCTCTGGGAACATTCCAACTAGGGATTATATAAGCCTTTGAAGATGAGTAATGGTGATCTGACTTCATAACAATCCCTCCATTGGGGTTAAAGATGACTCACAGGGCTTGTCAAAGGGGAACTGCAAAGCAGGTACTTAAGTAGACTCTAGAAGCTGGAATTAGTCTCTGTAGCCACTTTTATGGGGAGAGGGAGGGAGGAGGTGGATGGATCTGACTAGGAGCAGAATCCAAAGTTCGAGAGATAACGAGGCAGCAATGTCCCGTGCGGATTTTTCTGGAAGTAGTGTCCTAGAGCGCATGCAAGATGTAATGGTGCACCTTGTAGGATGATCCCCGTGCTGCAAGATGCTAAAGTCTGGAAAAGATAACCTCATCACTGTGCTGCTGGGAGTGGGGACGAAACACTGAAGCCTGTGCTTTGGAGGAGATGCACACAGCTACTTCATCGAAAAGGACGCATCAGGTCACCAGGAAAGGCAGAGGGGGCCCACGGGGGACCCAAGCAATACATGGGGTGGGGGGGTGCTGAGCTCCCTCGGGGCAATGTGGGACCCCTCCTCAAAGATAAAGGGGCTCGGCCGACTGGGATTCTCACCAGTTTCTTGAGAAGTTTCCTTTGTATGATCTACTCAGCTTGGCCTGGCTGGTGGCCGGTCTGCCAGCCCCGAGCTGGCTTTGCAGACGCTGGGCCCGGGGAGGATGACAGGAAACAATCAAAGTGGCTGCCGTCTGGTGACCTTAAGTGGAGTGGCCATGAAGGTCGATGGCAAAGGAAAAGGCTTTCAAGCCACCCAGGGCCAGCTTCTTAGTGCTGGAAGTGACAGCGGCGGACAGACGAGGCTGGTGGCCTCTGTTCAAACAGGGCACCGCACAGCCCAGGAGGGGAAAACAAGAAGCTATAAATAGCAGCACGCCCGGGGAGGCTCTGTAAACAGCATTCAGCCACCGCCCGGCCTGGGGAGCAGAGCACAGCAGCCTCGGTGCAGACACTGGGCTGCCTGAACCCGCTGCGCTCACACGTACACCCGGGGACACACGCACACCAACACTACGGGCCAGGCTGCCTGTCCTCCAGCGCCGTGGCTGGGTGCTGGTGCCTCTGAATCTTGTCAGGGAGGAATCACCTCCTGCTTTTTCCAGGCCTTGGGCAAAGCTGGTGAGGCAGGGGGATGGCGGCTGCAAAAGGCACTCATTGAATCTCAGGGAAAAAAGAAACATGACCCAAGTGAAATGAAAACAGGAGGGAGGGGAAGAGAAGCCAAGAAATGCTGAGAGAAGACCAAGGCCATGGGTGGAGACACACACCTCCCACGGGCTTACAGGAGGCTGACTGGCTTCCCAAGTGCACGCAGAGGATACTCATGGCAGGTTCACGTCCTTCCTACAGTCCTGTTCCCCTTGGGGGCTTTACTCTGGGCTGTTGACCAAGCTCTCACTTGACCACTATGGGCTTTTACTCAACACTGGGGTGATGTCGCTGGGAAGGTGAATACAAAGATGGTGCTCCTACTCCTCTCCCCAGTCTTTACACACGGATTTCTTGGCTGCTCCTGCCAGTGGGCTTCTCCTTCCATGACTTTTGTGGGCCTCCTGGTTCTTTCCTTCTTGGAACGACCCTGGAACTCCCCTTCAGGAAGGCTGAGGCTGGATTTCTCACAGTGGTTAAGAGAGAGGGAGGAAGAAAAGCCTAAAAATGATCCTATGGCTTCAACACATGAACATTGAGCTTTTGAAACTCAAATTCCGTATTTTCACATAAGACTCTGGATACCTTGAAAAAAGTAATTATTATTTTAAAAAGATTTATTTATTTATTTATTTATTTATTTATTTATTTATGAATGATAGACAAAGACAAAGAGAGAGAGAGAGAGGCAGAGACATAGGAGGAGTGAGAAGCAGGCTCCATGCTGGGAGCCTGACGTGGGACTCGATCCCAGGACTCCAGGATTGCGCCCTGGGCTGAAGGCAGGCGCTAAACTGCTGAGCCACCCAGGGATCCCCGAAAAAAGTAATTATTTATAGTTGGGTTGTTGTGGTGAGAGAGTGGGGAGAAGTTCACTTAACCACGAGAACATTAAAAACCATTCACTTGTCAACGAATTAAATCAATCCTGTTTTCTTTTCTACCTGTGCTCAAGAATCTTGGGATAATGGACTTGTATGGAAGCTGCTGGGAATCCCTTAATGACCAATCCCCCTGCCTGTGTCCCTCTTAATTCCATTATTTTGGTTCATCAAAATCATGTCTTTAGGCCAACGATAACCATGTACAGTGGCTGGGGGCTAAGGAAGATGCTAGAGATTCTTGCACAGCTCCGATGAAACAAGTATGTTTCCTCATGGTAAGTTATGCAATCTGATTCTGGAAACCATTTCAGACTGTAACTTGGTTACAACCTGGTCTGTACTCTTCCTGCAATGTTATCTGAGAATGGCGTTTTTTTTGTTTTGTTTTGTTTCAATTTCTCTGTAACTTCAAATATCATTGAAAAACTACATTACTAGTTACTGGACTGTACTAGTTACACAAGTGGCAAAGAGCAGTGGCATTTGCTTTTCGGAGGTGTGGGCAGCCTAACACTTCAACTGCTGGCAATCCGAGTGGAGCAAAGAAAGAATGGGAACTCTGCACCTTTCAGAGCAGGTAATGGCAGCCCCAGAGGGATGAGTCTCCCCTGAGAATGTGTGGTCACATCTCCTGAATCTTCTAAAGGAAGGAAAAAGATAGGATAGAGTCAAATTTCCTAAAGCTCTGGGGAAGGCTGTGACCCAAGGAGGGCTATGAAGGATGGTCTGGAACTGCGCATCAGTCTGCTACTGACAAAAGCACCCAACAATGGATGTTCTCCAATGTGGGGCATTTCTCTAAGGAGGCCTGCAGCCCTCAGGCAGCCGGAGCCCCAAACAAGCTGAAGGCCCAGCCCTAAGGATGAGCCAGCGGGCACCAGTCCCTGAGTGTCGTGGGGTCTGCTGCGTTACGCTATCATCTCCAACCGGTATGTTCCATCCATGGGAGGCTACCATGCTCTTCTCTATGACAGCTTGGAAGGCTGGTGGGAATGACACCCATCCAAGCGATGGTCCATTTCAAGGCCATCCCAAGCTCCTTACACCTACCTTGCTAACTCTCCTCTCTAGCTATAAAATGGTAGCCTGCTGTTGATGAGGTCCCAAAAGGGAAAGAAATTTCTAGAAATGGGCACTGCTCAGTTCCATAACTGTGAAACTGGCCCGACATAGCCTCTTCTAGCAGAAACCACAAACTCCCAGGAACTATTCCTGTGGGAGAAAGGAAGTTCTCTCCATGGGGACTCACTATGGGTCTGCTTCCCTTCCCCCAAGTCTTGAGCTCTGAGATCATATGAAAACTTTGTCATCTCAGAAACACACCTATGCATTCATTCATACATATGCATGGCTGCACGTTTGTTCGCATATGCATGTAATCATGCACTGAGGTAGTTCTGAAGTGATTCTATGAGGGAAGTTCTAGTTGAGCATTAGTTGTTCCTATGGCCTGGTATATAAATGAGAAGGTTAAGTTCACAAACTATGGTGCTGTAGGCTATAGAAATATCTACTCACAACCTGCTTGTATCTCAGGGGGAGTATTCAAAAGCATCATGGCACTGGCAGCATCAATGTCAGGATCTGGAAAAATCAACCAATAAATAACATTATTTACAACGGGGCTGGTGTGTGTGTGTGTTCTTCCCCCTGCAAGTTAGTTTATGAATGCAACAGAGAAAAAAAAAAAAAACCATCCAGGAACTAGACGAGCTATCCCAAAGGTGACTTTCTTCCAGTTTGGATTTGAGAGGAAGGCATTCTAGAACGAGATTTAAGGGGCAGATTGTAAGTTTTTCAGACAAAGCACGGTCCCTCCTCGTTTTGCGAATTTCACAGATCACACTGTATGTTCCTGTTAAGTTGGTGATCTGTGCCCCCCCGCAGCTCGCTACCCTGGCACAGCGGAGTAAGGCACTGGGGTGACGATGCGAAGTTCAGCTAAAGGAATCTTTGATGGACGGGGGAAGCTCAGAGTGCCAAGAAGAGACAGCCCTAAATATACCCACATCTAGTGTGATACAAACAAGACATCGGGTCATTTCCATCTGTCAGCAGGATGTGAATTGTGTTTTACGAGACTGTGTGTGCCCGCACACGGTGGCGGTAGAGGTGGTGAAGGCATTAAAGAAAATGTACTTGGAAATCTAAAGAAAAAAATTAAAGTCCCGATGTTGGGGGCACAATGTCTGCTTCCGCATCTATTACCGCTTTTAATATGCCCCCCCCCAAAAAAATTCCCATCACTTCGTTGCTGTAATTCTTAATAGGTTTCTGAATCCTTACTGATCCACCAGTTGACAGATGGCAGGTTATATAGAGACAGAGAAAAATATTATCCTTTTATAACTAAATTCATTTTCCTCCGAGAAACAGCAGCGCTGCTGCTATGGAAATGAAAGTTGCCATGGCAACAGTAAACAACCCCCAAGAATGGTCACTGAATAGGCTGAAAAGAACATCTGCCCCAGCGCAGCGTCCCAGCTGCCCTGGGGCGAAATGCGCTAATAGTGCGGTGAGGCCTCGTGACAGAAGCTGCTGCCTGTGCCCTGTCCAAATAAATGAAGTGTGCAATTGAAGTCGACATCAAAATGCTTGCCCTTGCAGATTACCACCTCTGTGTCCGCTAAACCCAATGACGAATGATGGGGGGAGGCATGGGGGACAGGGGCGCTCGCACTTGTCAGTTTTTGTACAAATTACACACCAAAAAATTCAATTTACTACTAATGGCTCCATGGCACTTTATTTTGGGTATTATGCTAGGAAATGACTTTTTTACTGTTTAAAAAAGTACATTTTTCATACTTTATATGTGCAGTTTAATTCCAAGGGAGTAATGTGATGCAGTATAAAGCCCCACAAGCGATTAATAATACGGATGACGCTGGTTCCAGAAGACAATGTCTCAAATACGGGAGGAGGTGGTGGTGGAGGAAAGGAGCTTTATTCTGTAGGCCTTTTTCGCTTTTGCCTGCAGGAGGCCTGTTACTTACGCTCTGTAAATGAGTGAAGGTTTATTTTAATAGTATATTGTATGAGAAGCAGGTAAATTAACTTATTTGGCAACTCCTGGGGTGAAATTCCTAAAACAGTCATTGCTCCCCACTGGTAGTAAAATATATATATATATCAGTTGAACTGAAAGATTTCAAGGTCCCACTCACAGCTCTGAGAGTTCCTGCTGCCCTGTGCCCTCCCCACACGGCCTGTTGCCAAGAGGCAGGGCTCAGACTTCTAGAAGATGCAGTGGAGGGACTGAGGCAGTCGCCTACTCCTTTTTTTTTTGAAAAGACCCCCTCCTCTCTTAGGGCTGAGAAAACACACCTGTCTCTTGGCCGAGTGAAGGTTCCTTACCATCTTCGAGAACACAAGTGTTGCTGGCTACCCAGGGCTGGCCTGGCTGGGTGGCCCCTGCCTCCCCAGGGGACTCTGACCCAGATTTTTCCTCAATGACCAGGAGGTTCGATGGGGACAGAACAAGGCGAAATCCAGAGGAAAGAAATCAGGAATCTTTTCCCATTTATTTTCCCAAAAATTAAAGTGGTTCTTTATTCTTCAAAAACACATGGGGACCATGGGAGGAAGGTGCAAAGGGCCATGGATAGACATAAGGAATGAAATGAGAAAAGAAAAGAAAGACAGCTTTTGAAGGAAAAAAGTACCATCAACACCCACATGGATTTCACAGAACCTAAGGGGTAACTTGGAAAGTGCTTCGGACCCACAAAACGTCACCCCGACTGCCACCCCCATCCCAGCTGGGCCAAATCAACACACCAACATGAACACAGGACAAGTTTAGGAGAAGTCTCCCAATCCATCCTTCTGCCCAATCAGACGTGCCACGTGGAGGCCTTTGCAGACAGACTCCCATGCCACCTTGGCCCTCCTGCTGGTCTCTGGGCATTTAGGGAAGGCGCCACACCCAGTTCTGTCGTGATCATTTCTACAGTGCCCTACCTTGCATCCCAATGGACCGGTTCCTGTGTAAGAGCGCAAACACATAGCCCTATAGGCAGAAGGCAATAGAGGGCAAGGCATGGGGGATGTCCTCCTCCTGACATCTCAGCAGTTGGAATTAGCAAACAGGCAAAGTGCAATGGTTTGAGAAAATGCATTCTACGTTCATCGTGTGCACACTGGCATCACGGTCATGCGACCCTTTCCCCAGGGGACACAGTGCGTGCCCTCTTCGGTGTCCGGTCTGATGAATTGTATACCAGGGGCACCACCACCAGGATGAAGACAGAGAGCACAAGATACAGATTTCCATCACCCCAAGGTTTCCTTGTGCCCATTCGCAGCCAGACCCCCACCCTTGTCCTGGGCAAGTCCTGGTTTGCATTCTCTCTCTCCCTGATGGAGTACCACAGTGGATTTCTTATTCCTTCCATTATTGAGCAGTATCCTGCTGTGTGGACAGAACTACACTTTATCTGTGCACCTGTAGATGGAAGATCCCAGAGTGGGATCGTCTAGAAGCAGCCCCTATGAGCTTCTGCATCTATCTTTTGTGAAAGTGTTTTCCCTTCCCTTGGGTAGCTGCTGGGAAGAGCATGTCTAACTCTACAGGGGACTGACGAACTCTCCTCCCAAGAGGCCGGACCATGTCTGAGAATTCCAGTTGTTTCACACTTTTGTCAATACTTGAAACTGTCAAGCTTGTAAAATTTTACCCATTCCCGTGGCTGTGTGGTGGTCGTTCACTGTGGTTTTAATGTTTATCTCCCTAATGACAGATGATGTTGAGCATCTCTTCATGAGCTAAGTGGCCCGTTGTGTATCTTCTTTGGTGAAAATTCTGTTCATGTCTATGCCCACTGCTCAGCTGGGTTGTTTAACCCAACTGTCAAGTTGTAAAGTTCCTTAAACATTCTGGATAGAAGTCCTTTGTGAGAGATATTCTTTTCCTCAATCCGTGGCTTATCTATTCAGTTTCTTAACAGCAGCTTTTAATAAGCAGAGCGTTACATTTTTATGAAGTCCAATTTATGAATTTCTTTTAAGACTCAGTTTTGTTCGTCCCTAAGAAATCTCTGCCTACCCCCAAGGTGCAAAGATTTCCCTCTTGAGCAGCTTCTTTTTCAGTCTCATGCATTGGTGTCACATTATCTGGGTTCCATACTCAGATTTACAGGTAAATGAGAATGGGAGTCATCAACCAGAACTTTCTTCATCCAGTAGGCTGGTTCAGCACAGACCTCCTAGAACTGTACAGATCAACACTGGAAGGCCCCACTTTGACTCCAGGTGCGTTGGGGCATACTAGGCAGCCCGAGGGAAGGTTTGATCAGCCACGTTTCTATGGAAAAAAAGGTCTCTCGGACCTGCTCCTAAACATCTGCCATGACTTCCTATTCATCACACTTCGACATCCTGTGTGTGCTTCAGAGCCGACAATCTGCAATCTCTTCAAAGAGATGCTCCCATGCTTCTGCATCTACCTATTACTGTCTAAGTTTTCTTCCCTCTTTAAACAAAATATTATGAAGACAGTGTGTGCTCACTGTAAGAAAAAATATATATCTGGTAGATATAATTTGAGAATTAAATGTCTTCCCCAAAGACCCATTCTCAGATTCACATTTCCTTCCTTCCTTCCTTCCTTCCTTCCTTCCTTCCTTCCTTCCTTCCTTCCATTCTCTTTCTTTAATTCATGAGACACACAAAGAGGGGCAGAGACACAGGCAGAGGGAGAAGCAGGCTCCCTGTGGGGAGCCCGATACGGGACTCGATCCCAGGACCCTGGGATCACGCCCCGAGCCAAAGGCAGATGCTCAACCGCTGAGCCACCCAGGTGCCCCCCAGATTCACATGTTCTTGTACAGACACCCAGAAATTGTCTAAAGTTGTCTATTAGGATACAGACATTTAGGTATGCTCACCAATGGTAGGTATTTATACTTACGCACATGTACCCATTCTTTAAAAAGGGGTTTATTTGAAAAATACTTTTCTTCAATTTTTCATTAGATAACACACCTTGGCAACCTTTCATATTCACATACATTATCTGAAGTTTTCCTGTGGTGACTTTTTTATGCATAAAAATATGCCACAATGTTAGTGCTGACAGTCTCTGTTCTTTAGGCTGCAGACTATGGGGAGAGCAAAAATAAAACATCTGTAACCTGTGCCCAGCACACTGCTGCTCCCTACAAATCCTGAGTCCCTGAGGACTCAGTCTTGACATGGCAATCCCCTCCTCCTTCCCTGTGTCCCCTTCCCTAAGAGGATGAAGCATGGCCCATCCCCTCCCTCCTCAGGCTGCTCACAACTCTTACTTCCTCAACCTCTCTCTCTCTGGGGGCCACCCCCATTTGCTACCTTAGGTAAACATGTTATTTTTTGTGGGTTTCCCTGAAAGATTACATTCTCTGTGGTCAGGAGAGACCAGTGGTGGCATACATCTCTAGGTATGAGAGAGGCTTTCTGATGCAAATTTTTGAACAGTGCGCTTTTGATCAAGGACACGGGCCTTGAGGTCATGGGGTCTTAGGAGTTTTTTGGCTGGAGAGGTTTTAGGCAACTAGGCAACTGTTTAGGAGCTAGGGGATGTTTCTGCTCTGGAAGCACGGCTG